GGGTCCTAGCCATCTAGTTTAGCCCCATTCCACGCCACGTGAGCATGAGCGGCGTGGGGGACACGTGTCGCCGGCGCAATTGAGACGTGACTGTGCTTTGAAAGGATATTTTGCGGCCGCCATCTTTACCGACCGTTAGTCGGAGGATAGCCGTTTTGATTGTTCTCCATGTTTCCGCTCCATATAGTACTAGTGACTTGACCACAGAATTTAAGAATATAAGTAAAGTATTAGTTTTCAGTATTATTCTGATATTTCTTTTTGACCTCAACAAATCTCCTAGTGCTATGAAAACTCGTCTTGCCTTTTATATTCATATCTCAATATCTCTATCAGTTCCCCCATGGTTGGCTGCCCAAATAGGTGTATGACTCCATGTCTTGGAGTGGGATATCACCAAGAGATAACTGTTTGCCTGGTTTATTCTCATTATCGTTATCTTTCCCTTAATGATTTTTAGATCCAACTGTTGTGACCGGGCATCAATTATGCCTAATTTATCTTGTATCTGGTTCCTTGAGTGGGACAGAAGAGAAATATCACCAGGGAATCAAAGTATTTTGTAGGGGTCCACCGACTTCCATTCCTGATGGTAGTTGTTGCTGGTTTCATAATCCAGTCTACTGCCAATAAAAAATATAGAAGTAACAAAAGACACCGATGTTGCACATCTGTTCTTACTTCCAATGCATTTGTTAGTTTTCCCTCATAATAAATATTTCATGTTGCTTTCACTAAGTTAATAATTTTCTGTGGGAGCTCATAGTGTCTCATCGATTTTCAGAGATTCCTAACAATGTTATTAAAAGCCTTTTCACACTATATTTAACAAAGTCAACAAATGAAACAGTAGCAAAGTGTTTTAAAAATAAACATATCTTTTAAATCAACACTCATACCTAGAGCAGAAAACCTCAGCAACAAACTGATACAAGCAGTGGGGTACTTCTTCATTAACAAATCTCTGTGTAAGATCTTCCAGTGTGACCTGATGTCTTATAACTAAGAGTACCCACATTGATATTACACTGAACGCACAACAAGGTATATGAATAGAGTTACAACAGCGAAAACTTACCGAAGCCTGCATGCAGTTTCAATAGTAAGTGGTGGCATAGGAGCATTAAAAATTGTAATTTGTCTTTCATGTATAACCTAACTCTAACAGGCCATCTTTGATCCATAAAAAGATTTTTAAAAGATATCGCAGGCACTATGCCAAAGTCAAATAAGTGACAAAAACTTCTTTCGAGAAAATTGTGTTTAAACACTGTGACAAATGAAAATAGTGCAGTTGCATGAAAAGTAATACTATGGTCTCACCCACATGTATTTAAAGAATAAACAAGTGATAAACAGCAGCCCTGAAAAAACACGTAGGTGAAAATCACCACAACTGCACTGTAGTGTCTGTGGCATAGTGCCAATGAATACCATGTCATTTTCTGACCAACGCTGATGTTTGCAGTTGTTAGGAGCAGGGTCTAAAGACTGCTTGCACTCAGTGTTATTATCCACAGCTTGTAAATTTCCTAGTGTGCTATTCACTACAGCATCCAGCAAAGACTTGCTGTATAGAGAGTCATTTTTTTTATACCATTTACAATGAGTGGCTGATGCTGATACACCCCAGGTGATTGCTGATACAGCCCAATGTAACCTTAATCTATAGAAAGCCTGCTAATACCACCCAGTGTCTTCACTATCACCGCTTATCTTCACTATCACAACCCAGTGTCTTCACTGCCACCGTCCAGTGCCTTCATTACCACTGTCCAGTGCCTTCATTAAAACCACCTAGTGTCTTCACTACCACCGTACAGTGTCTTCACTACCACCATCCAGTGTCTTCACTACCACCGTCCAGTGTCTTCACTACCACCGTCCAGTGTCTTCACTACCACCGTCCAGTGTCTTCACTGCCACCGTCCAGTGCCTTCACTGCCACCGTCCAGTGCCTTCACTACCACCGTCCAGTGTCTTCACTACCACCTAGTGTCTTCATTACCACCACCTAGTGTCTTCACTGCCACCGCCTAGTGTCTTCACTGCCACCGTCCAGTGTCTTCATTACCACCACCCAGTGTCTTCACTGCCACCGTCCAGTGTCTTCATTACCACCACCTAGTGTCTTCACTACCACCATCCAGTGTCTTCACTGCCACCGTCTAATGTCTTCACTGCCACCGTCCAGTGCCTTCACTGCCACCGCCCATTGCCTTCATTACCACCACCCAGTGTCTTCACTACCACCATCCAGTGTCTTCACTGCCACCACCTAGTGTCTTCACTACCACTGTCCAGTGTCTTCACTGCCACCGTCCAGTGTCTTCACTGCCACCGTCCAGTGTCTTCACTACCACCGTCCAGTGTCTTCACTACCACCGTCCAGTGTCTTCACTGCCACCATCCAGTGCCTTCACTGCCACCGTCCAGTGCCTTCACTGCCACCGACCAGTGTCTTCACTGCCACCGTCCAGTGTCTTCACTGCCACCGTCCAGTGTCTTCACTGCCACCGTCCAGTGCCTTCACTGCCACCGTCCAGTGCCTTCACTGCCACCATCCAGAGCCTTAACTACCACCGTCCAGTGTCTTCACTGCCACCGTCCAGTGCCTTCACTGCCACCGTCCAGTGTCTTCACTGCCACCGTCCAGTGCCACCGTCCAGTGCCTTCACTACTACCATCAAGTGTCTTCACTGCCACCGTCCAGTGTCTTCACTGCCACCGTCCAGTGCCTTTACTGCCACCGTCCAGTGTCTTCACTGCCACCGTCCAGTGTCTCCACTGCCACCGTCCAGTGTCTTCACTGCCACCGCCCAGTGTCTTCATTACCACCATCTAGTGTCTTCACTGCCACCACCCAGTGTCTTCATTACCACCACCTAGTGTCTTCACTGCCACCGCCCAGTGTCTTCATTACCACCACCTAGTGTCTTCACTGCCACCGCCCAGTATCTTCATTACCACCACCCAGTGTCTTCACTGCCACCGCCCAATATCTTCATTACTACCACCTAGTGTCTTCACTGCCACCGCCCAGTGTCTTCATTACCACCACCTAGTGTCTTCACTGCCACCGCCCAGTATCTTCATTACCACCACCTAGTGTCTTCACTGCCACCGCCCAGTATCTTCATTACCACCACCCAGTGTCTTCACTGCCACCGCCCAGTATCTTCATTACCACCACCCAGTGTCTTCACTACCACCGCCCAGTGCCTTCATTACCACCACCCAGTGTCTTCACTGCCACCGTCCAGTGCCTTCATTACCACCACCTAGTGTCTTCACTGCCACCGCCCAGTGCCTTCATTACCACCGCCCAGTGTCTTCACTACCACCGCCCAGTGTCTTCACTACCACCGTCCAGTATCTTTACTACCACCGCCCAGTGTCTTCACTACCACGTCCAGTGTCTTCACTGCCACCACCCAGTGTCTTCACTGCCACCGCCCAGTGCCTTCACTACCACCGTCCAGTGTCTTCACTACCACCGCCCAGTGTCTTCACTACCACCGCCCAGTGTCTTCATTACCACCACCTAGTGTCTTCACTGCCACCGTCCAGTGTCTTCATTACCACCACCTAGTGTCTTCACTGCCACCGCCCAGTGTCTTCATTATAACCACCTAGTGTCTTCACTGCCACCGCCCAGTGTCTTCATTACCACCACCTAGTGCCTTCACTACCACGTCCAGTGTCTTCACTGCCACAACCCAGTGTCTTCACTGCCACCGCCCAGTGTCTTCATTACCACCACCTAGTGTCTTCACTGCCACCGTCCAGTGTCTTCATTACCACCACCTAGTGTCTTCACTGCCACCGCCCAGTGTCTTCATTACCACCACCTAGTGTCTTCACTGCCACCACCCAGTGTCTTCACTGCCACCGCCCAGTGCCTTCATTACCAAAACTAACTGTATCCTCAAAGACACCACCAAGTGTGATGAATCCTTGTAACACCACCCAGTATATCCTCACTGACACCATTGAGCGTCACTAAGTGGTTGAGTTTTAAACTTACTGTTGTAACATAGTTGTAAACCTATGTCTTACAACTTGCAGACCAGCTATCTACCCATTTAATCAACAGATTTTCGTCAACATTATAAAAATGTTATTCATAAACCAAAATGTGTTTGATTTTTTTAATGTAACAAGACAGAGGCTGCTATAAAATCTGACTTAGCCAAACCGACCACAATTTTCTGGCTGTGCTAGCAATTAAAAAAGAAAAAAAATTGTGAAAGTATTCTGAAAATAAAGTAACAAGCAGACAAATGTTATCCTTCTGTTAAGAACTCCAGAGGTTTCTGTTTTCTGCCATTAAATGTTATAACAACAAACTGGACAAAATTAAACTTATACATGTTGAGATAAAACTGAACAGGCAAATTCTAAAATATAAATATTTATATATACTAAATAAAATCATAATACTGTTAAAACCTTCATACACAAACATACACAATGAGTCAATTTCTGCACATAAGATAAGGATGATGCAATTCATATGCAAGTCATGTCATCTTAGACATATTTTGGAAACTGGTCTTTTTCACCTTTTTCAGAACCAACAGAAAGAAAAGAATAGGATTAGGATGCAACTATAAACCAAAAGGGAGATAATCCACAAAAGTACAGGATGCTGGGAAAGCAACTGTACGTCTACTTCCTACAGGTCTGAAAAGTAATTGTACACCTACTATCTACCTATTACAAATAAATAAAATAAATTAGGTATATAAATTATAGGTGAAATTTTGTAACACAAGTAATAAATAAAGCATTTTTTAAAATTTAAATACAAAAGATTAAAAATATTTTACAATGACCTATCGATAGTAAGTGTATAGTTGTTTTTCAAAAATATTAATAACCGGTGTATAGTTACTTTTCAAACCTGTAATCAGTATGCACCTCAATATGAATTTACTGTAAAGGTTTGTATATAAAGAAAAAAGAAAAATTTTTAATGACTATTAAAAAAAGCATACCTTAATCCTGCCTACAGCCTCCTGAGCTTGCATCATACGCATGGCTTTCGATGGCTGACCTTCAGAAATGAGTTGAGTTGACCCTAAGTAGCGGGCACGGAAGAGCACCCCTTCAATCAGAACTTCAGGCCGGTCAGGGTCACGTATGGCAGCTGAAATGAAGAGAATACATCCGAATATAGTGAGGTGTGTGTGTGTGTTGAAATTAGCAGTTTTACCATAAACACTGCAAAATAAAATCTTGAAATAAGTCATTCTATTATTAAAGCTACTAGATACAGCCTCTTGAAAACAAATCCTTCTATTATCAAAAATGTTTTTTTTTTAAACTCTGAGAAAAGCAATTCTATCACACATAAAATCAAAACAACAACAACTACAAAAATACTTCAAACAAGTAATTCTATTAAAAACTGCTAAATAAAACCTAGAAAAAAACTTTTTTATCACAAAAACTGCTAACTCTGCCATTCTATTAAAAACAAAACTGTTAATTAAAACCTTCAAACAAAAAAACTATATCCCAAAGACGGCTACAAAATACTCAAAAACTAGAAGTTACATTAAGAAAAGCTCTAAAATACAATGAAACTAGTTTCTCCAGTCGTTTTATGTGGGCAGAACTAATTGACACCTGGAGAAACGAGTTGCTGAGCATATTCCAGTAGGAGCAGAAAAAGCAATGCAAAGAAAAAATATAAATATCAACGAGAACAAAAATTAACAAATACTGCCCAAATGACCAGTCATAAAGACCACCACTCTGCCAGAGTGGGCCATTTTTGAATTCTGACACACTGTATCCAAGTATAATGCATTTTGGCTATCCTCCGAATAATGATCGTAAATTATCGAGGCGGAAAATATACCCTAACAGGGCCTCAGTCAAGTGTCAACTGCGCACTTCCGGCGACTATAACACCACCGCCGAATTGCAAACTTCCGGCAATTTCCGCCACCGCTGAGTGTTCCCCATGCTGCTCATGCAGCGTGGATTGGGGCTAAACTAGATGGCTAGGACTCACAAGCAAATAAAATGAAGGAAGCTGCAGGAGATGCGGTAGCTGCTGCTGCTCATGAGTCCTAGCCATCTAGTTTAGCCCCAATCCACGCCGCTCACACGGCATGGGGGACACTCTCGGCGGTGGCGGAATTTGCCGAAAGTTTGCAATTCGGCGGTGGCGGAAGTCGCCGTAAGCGCACATTTCAAGACGATGGAAGTGCGCCATTGACACGTGATTGAGGCCCTGTTAGGGTATATTTTCCGCCTCGATAATTTACTACCGTTATTTAGAGGATAGCCTGTATTTTAATTTCTTCACATGTAGTCTAATGTCAGAACGCTAAGAAGACTTGAAGCCGCAACAATTCTTACCTGTGTCATGAACTTTGTAAACAAACAGACATGATTATGACATTGCGGTTGCAATAGTAAAGCAGGCAGCTGCTTTTGAGTGTGGCTGAATTTGTACTTATAAAGAATTCACTGTTTTGGCTTCATTTATTTAATGCAATCACCTCTCTTAGCAAACTGTAAAAACAGCTTTGTAAAACTTATACTGAACTCTACTGATTTCATTTCTAAGTCACCCCCTTGATTTTCTTAGGAATTTAAGTTAAATATTAAGTAATGTTGAAATTTCACTAACAAAACATTTACTCATCAAATAATGTAATCTGTAAGAAACAATAAACACAAGACTAAAAGGTATCATGCTGCAGAAAAACAAACAAAAGTGGTCTAAAGTCATTGCCATGCCCTCAAGATACCTCAGAGCAAAAGGATGTGAACACAAATATCTTCAGAAAAAAAATAAACTCACAAGGACACTCCATCACCCCATGAACAACAAAAGAAAGAGAATTGCAGCAGATTTCATGTGCTTAACCTTGAGTCAGATTTGTGTCATTTTGACTGCTTTATCTGAAAGCCACAAGAACGTGTTTTTTTTTTTATGAACCACTGCTAAACCACTGAAATGATTTGATTTATCTCTAAGCCACAAAGCCACACAAAATGTTTGTTGGTTTTAGTATCCAGAAGCCATGAGTTGTTAACCCTTAGGCTCGGTATTATGGATATCGCAACCTTTCGGTCTTGATTCCATTGCAAATACTGTAAATCTGGGAGAAATGTGGCTTTTCTGCCTACCCCCGGGAGTGAACCCCGACCACAAGGAGTTCGTCACCCGGTCACCGCGCAATCCGATTTAGCCAACTACGCTAGAGAGCCGGGCCATACAAAATGTAAACTTACAGAAATTAAGGACCTAAACTATGCCTTCAGTCATTTGAGGCATATAGGGTTTCATCTATAGGTGATGTGATCAACATTACATCAGTTGCATTTACTTCCCAGGACTTTACATGGTACTCATTTAGGGCCGGGTTGACCTGGGAGAAATGTAAACTTACAAACAAATTAAGACTAATTTATAAAGAAAAGGTCCCTTTTCCACACTTTTAGGCGTATAGGGCATATAGGGCAAGACCTATATTTGTATGGACCATTCGGCACAAAATGGGTGATGTGATCAGCATCACACCGGTCGAGTTTACTTCCGGGACTGCACCTGATACCCACTCAAGGCTGGGCAGACCTGGAAGTCACGGTAATTTTTGAAAAAAGTCTGAACCCACAACCTTACGATCCGCATGCGAGCGTCTAGCTGCTATGCCACGGCGACTCCCGAAACTAATTTATAGCAGTTATTTATTTATTAAGTTATAAGGATAACATCAGATGACTACTGCAGAAATAATAATTGTTAAAAAAACAAAAACAGACTAGAACAAGCCAATACTGCTTCATTAATAAGGAATACAATTTATGTTGTTTGCATTTTAAAAAACGTTATTATTGTATGTTTCACAAAACTATATAAACATTTAGTGGAAAATTATCGATAATTAGTAAAACTAATTTTTGAAAATTAGGACCCTTTCCCATGCCCAGACATACTGCACATACAGGGCTAAACCTTTCTTTTATAGATCACTCGACATTTGGTTGGTCATGTTGTCTTCCAATGCTGCCGGCCGCCTTTACTTCACAGGATTTTGGTTGGAACCCATTTAAGCCTGGATCAAAATGGGAGGTAATGTTAATTGTTTCTTTCAAGTCTGGCTCTGTCAGGACATAAACCCACCACCTTCGGATCTGCAGCGAGTGTCTACCCCTTACACTACGGAGGCTTCCCAATGTTTCAAAATACTAAAGTAAATTTAATGCCGGTGTGTCCAAAACAAAGAAGTGTTATCATTCAACACATTTAACCCCTGTTATATATAAAAAATTATATCTTCTTCTCCTCAGTGCTTGCCAACTGTGAACTCCAGCAGAAAGTTCCTGTCGTTGGTCAATTTTGGGACTTTGGCTATACCAAAATGTGAGTTTTCCATGCACATCTGTTTTACAAACATGGCTAATTTGTATGTAGACTGTTGCTTCCTACTTAGCCGATTTTTACGACATGCTTGTTACAAAGCAGTGGGTCTTTTTTTTTCCTTTCCTAAAATGGAGGCCTGGAACCCACAGGAAAAATGATAACCTGACCTGACTTTGCTTAAAAAAATCTCACTTCAAGTGATGCAATTACATTCTTGTTAAGGTAGCAATGTAATCAAAGATGAGGTACATAAAGATAAATTAAAATAAGAATACAAAAGAATACAAGAGGAGCTTTCATGGCAATAAGAAATTCCAAGGGAAATGAATGGAAGCCTCAACCATAAAAATACAGTTAACAGCACATGACATGCTGTGAAGAAAGTCCAATGGCTACTGACAAATTACAATGTCAAATAAAACTGCGATATCTGCACCACTAGTGACAGTTTCAAAGAAATGCTTTCAATATTTCTTTTTCAGAGAGCAAATGATAAAATTGAAGGAACATGGAATGTAGAGTGTCAGTTTGTATAATGAGCTGACGTTATTAATTTGAAGACAAATGAAAATCTTTAGCACTAAAGAATAACAAAATACATCTTCAAAGAAGACCATACACTTAAAGTAAAATTCTAATAATCAAATCAGAATGTGTAGAGTTCAATAACAGCAAGACTTGATTGCTTATTTACACAATAAGGAACAGAGAAGTATAGCTCGTCCCTATGTAGAAGATGCAAGCACAATATTAATAGTACAAATAATATGAAAGACATTTTAAAAACAGAAATCAAATTCCATTTTCCAAAATAATAACAGACACAATATAACCCACTACAGCCCATTAGTGACGGATAGGATAGCATTTTACTGTACTAAATAACAGAGGCCGAGAATTACTAGTCTAGAATACTGTTTCCATACTCAAAGGTTTTATTTTTTTAAAAATAGCAAAGAAAGTCAACGAAAGAAGAAACTGAGAGGATATAAGAAAAAAAAAGGAAAGAAAGAAATAATGAAACAAAGAAAGAAGAGGAGGGGAAGAAAGAAAGAAAGAAAGAAAGAAAGAAAGAAAGAAAGAAAAAAAAGAAAGAAAGAAAGAAAGAAAGAAAGAAAGAAAGAAAGAAAGAAAGAAAGAAAGAAAGAAAGAAAGAAAGAAAGAAAGAAAGAAAGAAAGAAAGAAAGACAAAGAAAGACAGAAATGTTGAATGTTGTTGAATGTTGAATAAGAATCGATATCACAGCACTCAGGACACTCCCAAAAGTGCTCAGTCCCCATCTTCCACAGAAACCGGAGAGTTCCAATTCCGATGGTAGAAAGAAAGAAAGAAAGAAAGAAAGAAAGAAAGAAAGAAAGAAAGAAAGAAAGAAAGAAAGAAAGAAAGAAAGAAAGAAAGAAAGAAAGAAAGAAAGAAAGAAAGAAAGAAAGAAAGAAAGAAAGAAAGAAAGAAAGAAAGAAAGAAAGAAAGAAAGAAAGAAAGAAAGAAAGAAAGAAAGAAAGAAAGAAAGAAAGAAAGAAAGAAAGAAAGAAAATCCTTTACTATATTGGTAAAGTACACATGCAACACAATCCTCATTCACTGACTTTATTTCTGATTCTAAAAAAAAACAGCCTTAAAAACATTCTTCTATTTTAAAGGATCATTCAAAGGCTATCATTCACAGATTTTGTTCCAGCATTTATTTCTCAAATTTTCCATCACCTTCATCATCTAACAAATGTCTAGTCTAAGCTTATTAATAATATAACCTGCTATAACA